GGTGGGGGGGACAAGGGACAACGCCACCCTCCCGCTGCCAACAGACCCGGCTCCCCTTCCCTCTGCCTTTCCAGGTCCATTTGAGTGAAAAGAAAGATTCTGAGAGGTTTTGTGTAAAAACACCGCGCCACAGCAGGGCAGGCCAAAGAGAGAGGGTTCCAACCACCTTTGGCCCTGCCGCATGTGCCCTTTGCCCCGGCGTTGCCATGGCGACGCTGCGGCCTAGCCAGGGGGACACAGGCCTTCGGGGGGCATCTTGGGGTGTCGTCTCCCCCCCGGCCCAGCCACCCCCCGGGAAACTACCCATGACCAAAGACCGGCGTCAAATAAAGCCAGAAACTTTATCACAGCTTTCACTCGGTGCCAGTGTCAAAACCCACCTGAATCTGGGCCACCCAACACTTGCCCTATTTATAAACGCTTTTACAAACTTTTATAAAAATGTTCTTTAAACATCTATATCGACCTATATATCTCTCTCTCACATATAAATGTTATTTAAATCACATTTAAACATGGCATTTGCCCTGGGAATGCCCAGGCCCCCATAGGCAGGCAGCCAGCAGGAGGTTTTACAGCAGCAGAAAACAAAAGCTTGCAGTTAAAGGGGGAAGGTTTGGGGGTCAAGTTGACACAGGGAACTTGGATTTCATTTAATGGGGTTTTTTTGTTTTTTTTTCTCCACCACAGTGTGAAGAGCAGAGGGCGCCAGGAGCTCAGAAATGTGGGTGAACGACTCCTGCCTGAATCGGGGCCCTTCTTGCCTTTGGTTCTTGCTGTGGAAGATGCAGGTGGGGACCGGCAGCGATCCCCCGCACTGCGGCACCAAGAGTCCATCCTGCCTTGAAAGACCTCAAGCACAGACGGAAACACAGGCAGAAAGAAGTGCAAAAGTAAATAAAAATGTCTCCCTTCTCCAGGCAGTGGAGTTCAGGGTTTTTTTGAGGTCTTCTGACTCTCCCTCGCTGCCTTTAGGGACCCCAAATTCCTGTCCCGTTTGCTGTAGGCATGGGAAACAGTGCAATCCCTTCCTCTTTCCAGCATCCTTCACACCCTGATGAGTCTCCCCATCCCCTCCCTTCTCCCGTATCCCTGGGTCCTGCTGCTGAGTGGTCCCACTTTGATTAAGCTGAACAAATTTTTGCCCTGTTCCTCAAGAGCCAAGTGTTGAAATTTGACTGAATCATCAGCCTTTTTATCCCATTCGTGGTAATTACAGGAACAGCTAATGGTGCC